CTAGCAAGGCCAGTGTGGCCAGAGCCGGGTAAGCAAGAGGGAGGAGACAAACTCAGAGAGGCGATGGGCACTGGGTCCCATGAGGACCTATGACGACTTTGCCTTTTATTCTGAGACCGAAGTCATAGGAGCTGTTGTTGTTAAGATTTCCTTGTTCATTTATTTATTTTAGAGCGAGATAGAGGGTGAGCAGGGGGAAGGGCAGAGGGAGGTGGGGAGAGGGAGAATCCTAAGCAGACTCTGTGCTGAGTCCCACTCGGGGCTCAATCCCACGACCCTGAGATCATGACCTGAGCCAAAATCGAGAGTTGGATGCTCAACCGACTGAGCCACCCAGGTGCCCCGAAAGAGGTAGATTTTTATGTCTCAGTATCTTCTTTAAGTTTATTTATTTATTTACTTTTAGTAATCTCTACACCCAAGGTGGGGCTCGAACTCACAACACCGAGATCAATGGTTGCATGCTCCACTGACTAAGCCAGACAGGTGCCCCTGTATCAACATTTTTTAAATGCCCAAAATATAGTATTAATTGAAAAAAAGCAATGGCAAAACTGCGTATTTTCTACCCTTTCAAAACTTCTTACATATATACACGTATGTAGGGATGTGTGTGTGTGTGTGTGTGTGTGTGTGTATTCACAGAAAAATCTGAAATATGACTGGAACCAATTGAAAATTGGAGGACTGGGCGCCTGGGTGGCTCAGTTGGTTAAGTGACTGCCTTCGGCTCAGGTCATGATCCTGGAGTCCCGGGATCGAGTCCCACATCGGGCTCCCTGCTCAGCGGGGAGTCTGCTTCTCCCTCTGACCCTCCCCCCCCTCATGTGCTCGCTCGCTCTCATTCTCTCTCAAATAAATAAATAAAATCTTTAAAAAAACTGTCTTCAAAAAAAATTGGAGGACTTATATCTTCATTTCCTATGTACTATTTGAACATTTAAAATGAAGATGTTATTACCGTATAACCAGAACAAAGAGCACACAAGCCCGCGTGTATTATATATACACTTATTTCTAGGCCGATTTTTAAGGGCATTATTGCAGGAGGCTTCCTGATTCTTCGGCCTATTTGCTATGCTCTCCTCAAACTTCCCGAATCCCAATCACCAAACCGCTATCAAAGAGGAGTTTCCTAAAATGCAAGTCAGATGGTGCTACCAATGTTGTTAAGGATGCTTAAACCCTCAGGGCCCCGGGGATGAAAGGCGAGTCCTGTGAGATGCAGTCTGGCAGTCTCTCCTTGGACTGACCTTGTACCATCTCCTCCCCCTCCCATGGCACCTGCCACCCCAGCCATCCTTTGTCATCCGCGTGCACCCGGGCGTGCCACCCCGTTCCCAGCTTTGCTGTCCTTCCTTTCCACCCCCCCTCCCCATTCCTCCCCCGCCCCCGCCCCCACCCCCACTTTTGACCCCACTGACGTCAGTTTATCCTTTAGCTGATGTCACTTCTCTGGAAAATCCCTGAGATTGGTGTTAGGAGAGGAAGATCTCTTACAAATGATCTCTCTGCTCCACAATCTCCACATTTTAACACACTAACCACTCGTCAGTTTCCTGTCTACATGTTAACACTCGATCATCAGGAACATTCTAGAAAGGTGGGCCTTTACCTTGCTCGCCACCCTCTCCCCAGCCCCTGGCACACTGACAATCCATAAGCGCTCAATAAATATTAATTTAGCTAACTACTACATTCAATTTTATCAAACTCTAAAACTTGGAAAGAAGGCAAAAGGGTAACTAGTTGTCCTTTTACTTATTATTATTTATTTATTTGACAGAGAGAGAGAGAGAGAGAGCGAGCACAAGCAGGGGAAGTGGCAGGCAGAGGGAGAAGCAGGCTTCCCGCTGAGCAGGGAGCCCGATGCGGGGCTTGATCCCAGGACCCCGGGACCATGACCTGAGCGGAAGGCAGCCGCCCAACCGAGCCACCCAGGCGCCCCTCTAGTTGTCCTTTTAATATCAAAGGAAAACAAAATAAAGGGCTTAAAGGCACAACCGAGTGTACACTGAAGCAGAATAGGGGGTCATTCTCTGCCATCCGTGTGACAGGTATGATTTGGGGGACATTCCAAAGGGCCTGGGACCCACATTTCACCCATGCCTGGAAATAATCTCCCCTCCCGAGTAAGCAGTGACAGTGCGGACCTTGAGTTAACTGGACATCCACTGGGGCGTGGATATTAACACGACAAAGTGCCAACGTGGATGCACACATTCATTTTATTCTCCAGCTGCTCCCAGCAGAGAGACCAGCCGTGATAGGTAAGTTCTCCTGTGAGGAGGAGCCCGAGGAAGGAATCGTCGGCAGTGCAGACCCCTTCCTAGAAGGGGATAACCCCGAAGTGAAGGGCCCATGTGGGTATTAGGGGGAATTCTCCATGACTGCCTGCTTCCTACAGGTCTCGGGCCGGCCAAGGTGTGGCAGGGTGGAGGCCAGAATGGGTGCTCTTATCTGAGCACACAGCGGTCAGTGGCCAACGAGGCCCCAGGCCAGGGCTCCGACTCTGGAGTGCTGGAATGCTATTGGAGTCCATGCACACATTCCTGACCCCCCACTGCCAAAATGTGCCATGGCATGTATCAAAAGAGAACTTAAAACTATTGATGGTGTAGGAGGAATTTCAAGGCCTTTCTTGAGCTACAAAGACAAGGCTGAGAACCTGTTCCAGGCCATCCTAGCAATGGGGACACGACTGTAATGCACAAAATGTGACAGTTTGGAGGGTCTTGGGGCACTTTTCCCACCCACCTTCCAGCTCCCAGAGAGGAAGCTGGGTAGCTGCCCGTCACCACTGGCCCTCCCAGCCCCCTCCTTTGGCAGCTGGTCAGCTCCACCACTACAGCAATTCGTACGCATGGGATCATGCTCTTCCTTCTTTTTAGGAGTTGGATGGCGGAGACGGAAAGCCTCCCACTTGTGCCTTCTCAGAAGACAGGACGTCATCTGCACACATAAATCAGAGCGGACGGCTGCAACTCGCTGGGCTGGGCAACCCTTGCCTTCCACGTTCTCAGTTCATTACCTTGCCAATTAACAAGGACAAACACGCCCAGCCCGGAGAGCTTCTTCTAGGGCTCAGACTAATTCTGCAAGCGTGGGGCTTGGTGGCCCTTCTGAGACCTGCAAAGCCTCCCTATTCTCACTCTGGGTTGTCAGCCCTCCTTTTTGGACAAAGGGGCAGAAAACACTCAGAGAACGGCTCCTGGACAGAGGCTGAGCCAGCCAGGAGGTGGAGGCCCACATCGTGTCGGGACTGAATTCATGCTTTGCCCTCGGGCGTGCTGGCGCCTTGCCTGGCCCTCAAGCCACATGCTAGACCCACAGGTCTCTGCCCCTCTGCCCAGCTACAGACCCAGCACCAGGCGGATTCTCCCAGACTCAGCTCCAGGCTGAATTTCTCCAGCTGAATCATCTGCACAGAAAACCAGGGAGCTCTCAGCCCTGGCCAACTCGCTTCGCCTCCGATGCAGGCCCCCTGGGCGCTATTTTAACGTATGGACTTTGTGGCCATAGTTCGCACTGTTTCCTTGCTGGTGGTTTCTTCCCCGTGGATTTTCCAATCCCAAGTACCCATTTGCTCCTTGGAACGGACTTCGCCTGGTCCTGGCTGCCTTGGTGGGGCCTTCCTCCTTTCCTGGAAGGTAACTCCACGAAGACTCTTGTCTCTGCAATCCCAATGGCCAGCAGCAGCTCCCCGAGGCTGGCCTCCTTGCAAGGAGGAAGGTCTGACAGTTTGGTGGCTTCTCCCTGCCCGACAGACATTCACAGCCCAGAGACCTTCCAAGCCACAGTCTGCTGAGCACCAGGGCTGCGGCATCAGGGCCCGTCACCATGGCAACCCTTGGCTTCCCAGGCCGGCCCAACCCATTGTCTGCCTGGCAGCTCGGCTCAGTTGTTTGCTGACTCCCAAGACTTTGCTTACTCAGCTCCCAGCATTCCCAGACGGACCTGCTGCCCCTCGCCTCCAAGTGGGTTTTGCGGACTGCCCCCCGCCACCCTCTGCCTCACTCTTCCCCTGGCCAAGCCTTGGAAGTCTGTCCACTTAGCAAAGCCTTTCTGAAGAGGCCCCTTACAGGACAGGCAGCCCCTGTATTTATTTTAGCCGCTGCTCAGGCTCAGCTGGTCGGCCAAGGCTCGCTCCCTCTGCCGGGCCAGCACAGGGAGAGTGAGGATGGGGCTGCTGAGCACACACTTGCTGAGGCAGCGACGGGCACAGGCCCCAGGCTGGTTCTGGTTTTTGTTTTTTTTTTTGAGATTTTATTTATTTGACAGAGAGAGACACAGCGAGAGAGGGAACACAAGCAGGGGGAGTGGGAGAGGGAGAAGCAGGCTTCCCGCGGAGCAGGGAGCCCGATGCGGGGCTCGATCCCAGGACCCTGGGATCATGACCTGAACCAAAGGCAGACGCTTAACGACTGAGGCACCCAGGTAGCCCTGGTTCTCCTCTTTTAATTCGAACTTCTCTGACAGCAAAACTCTTCTTTCTAACATACTCTCAAAGATGGTACAGAAAAGACAGCATTTCCTCTTAACTTACATCCTTGGGCCCAAAATAAAACTCCCACCGCACTCAACACTGAAATGGAGGGGCACCTGGGTGGCTCAGTCAGTTGAGCGTCCGACTCCTGGTTTTGGCTCAGCTCATGATCTTGGAGTTGTGGGATGAGTCCTGTGTCGGGCTCCGTGCTCAGCGGGGAGCCTACTTGAGGATTCTCTCCCCCCCCCCCCCGGCTCTCCCCTCCCCCACGTTCACACTCTCCCCCGCCCCCACAAAATAAATAAATAAATCTTTAAAAGAAGTACTGAAATGGAAAAGAGCACAGGCATTTGCTGAGGTTTCCTGTCTTCCCCGCTCTGGCACCCAGATTCCACCTTCCAATGCTTTATTTTCCCCAAAGTTTTTGCCATAATTTCTCCTAAGTGTTTAAATAACTTCCTGGAATAAAAGAGTCTATTTATATATGTAACAAAATTACACAATTAAATTCATGTTCTCAAAAATATTTAATGATATAGAAGTTCACGAGTTAAGTGAAAAGAGCAGGGTAAAAAAGCCACACGTGCGGCAGGACACCGATTTTATAGCGCACACACACACGACTCAGAGCAGCACCAGACAAGACAGCGTCACGGCAAGAACAGTGATTACCTACGTGGTGGCGACTGAAATCACCTTCTACATGTGCGAACGGTTCGTACAACTTTAGAAGCAGTTACGCGGGGGTTTCTGAAGAACTGCCAGGAACGGGGACTAACGGCAGACCCGGAACTGACCCCCCAGAACTCTGACAACAGCACACTGGGCTGGAAAATGCTTGAAGGGAGCCCTGCCCGAAGGCAGGACGGAAAGGCGGCTGTGGATTTAAACATTTAGTTTCTTCTTCATCCCAATGTGACTGTGAGGAATACAATCTTGGTCCCTGTCTTCTCGGGGTACTGCCCCGCTACATACAGACAAGCCTCGTGTACCCCCGATGACGCAGGCACCCCGAGGAACAGCCACCAGCCCATCTTGAAGACGTCAACAGGCTGAGGCTGAGTGTCTCCCACAAAGTCACACGGCTGGCCAGGGCCCCTCAGGATTCCAACTCAGAGCTCTCATACCAAAGCCTATTGCCTTAACCACTATATTGCCACATCCAAACCTGAGGGATAAGACTACGAATTAGACAATTAAAACAAAAAACCACCACCATCTGGCACAAGGAAAGGAACCTGGGCCTGCATCTCGAGGCACTCACACCCCATGGGGCAGAAATCCCAGGTGCGGCGTGGAGGCAGCCACCCGTCCCAGGGGTGCCAGCCCAGGCCTCTCCCAGACTGACTCTCAGACAGTGACGGCACCTGAAGGGCCCGCTCAACCATCCTTCTCCCCTTTCCTGTTTCCAGGCCATGCTCTCGAGGGTCCGCCATTTCCTGCCCCCAGGCCCAACAGAGGACAGCTGGGAACTGACCTTTGTTTACAAACTAAAACCCCAGAATCCAAGAATCCTGTCATTTATTTTCACATCTATCTTTCCTATAAAGGAATCTCTTCTAAAGACCTGGCTTTAAAGAACCACAAAATCAGCAACTAGGGTTTCAAGGTCTAAGTCATGTTATTTCTTTTTCTTAAAATAAGCATGGGCTACTTTGGAAATCACACACACACACACACACACACATACACATGATTGAGTTTCTGTTAAGAATAACGCAAGTGTAGAACTTACCACCATATTCTGAACCAAAGGATGATAAAAATGACAAAAAGCCCCAACTGCTGACGTCGACAATCACAGGGACAGATATCCAGGGTGGATGGCACGGCTGCGGGTCTGACCAGGGCCCCCTGAGCTGGCCACAGAGCCAACTCTCCAGGATGCCTGAGCCCTCCGGAAACCCCAGGCAGGCTCCCGGGCACGCCTGCCCCCCCCCCCAGACCAATGGCTGGCAGCTCCCTCTAGTGGCAATGCCTGCCTCCTCCATATGCACAGCCCTCAAGAGAGCAGGACATCAGGCCAAAGGCAAGCCTGAATGGAACGGAACGCTGGGGCACCGCTTTCATTCCTCCTGAGACCTGCCGCCCGGGACCGAGAGCGAGTATCGCCCGGGACCGAGAGCGAGTATCGCTGTGAAGACACAGGGAACTAGGGAAGGAGGCAGAACGCTGATGATGGCAGATTGTCAAAATTCTTGGCAAGACCAAGACAGAAAACATGCACAAGGTAAATTTAAATATAAATAAGATGCAACGAAGTTAGACCTTAAACAGTCTCTAGGGAATCAAAACCAACCCTGGGGGGTGGCAGAGTTCCAGGGAGCACGTGTAAGCGTGGGTCTGAGATGCCGAGGGGCCACCAGAAGAAACAGGACAAAAACCAACAGTTTAAATGAACAGAGACGTTAAAACCCACATCTGAATAACCAGCTTTCCACATAATCTGTAGGAAGCTGAATCCACAAGACGAATTTGAAATGCTACCTAAGACTCTCACAGATTTAAATGCACAAATGACGTGACCCCGCCTGATATCCTTGGTTACCCAAATCACTTCTGACCCTGGAGGATCAAGAATTGTGACAACCAGGGAGCAGACGAAGAATGGGTTTCCATCATTTCCCCCAAAGCCATCCGGAAGAACAGCATCATCACCAGCCTCCTGCCCCCGCTTGGAGAAAGCGCTAGGTGGCAGATTCATCTGCACATACAAGTTCCCGTCAAGCCGTAAAGGGCAAGACGGGGCTGTCCAGGCGCCACTCTGCTGCTCCTTCTTCCAAACAGCCTGGGGTCCGGCGCTGCCCACAGTATGTCCTCGGTCTCAGGTGAGAAGTCAGTTAGGACAGAGCTCATTCTAAAGAGACCACAGGAAAGGTTTCCTGGATTTGAGAGCAATTCTTTCAGCATAAAGTCATCAGATGAAAGAACCCCAAAAAACGAACGGCTCGAGTCCAAACATTTTATCTATGAAACCTTGCTCACACTGAAGAGACCAAACGTGATCTTTGAACACTGGACCACGGGAATGAAAGAGTGTGTGGACGGCATCAGATGAGCAGGGGATGAGCATGACCCGCGGCGGTGACTGTCCACAGGCAGACCCTGCTGCTGGGACCTCCTGCCTGTCTGTCATCGATGGGCGAGGACCAGGGGAGCCCTCACATCCTGTTATGCTCGCGAGCCTGCTGGCCGGCCCTCCTTCCTCTTTGGTAGATTTTTGTGGCCCCAGTTTCCCTATTTTTATTTAGATTCCAACAACCAGGTCTTTGAAGAGCTTTGTGAGGAATCAACAGTGTTCTCTCTGTTTTAATGGTGTACAAACTTCTCCCTGCTGCTTTAACCCTTTAGAAAATAAAACAGTTAAGTATGAAGAAGCATACAGAACACTAGGGCAAAACTCTTAAGTCATGGAGCTTTCAAAAGAGTTAAATTGACTCTAGATTCACGAGTTACAGAGGAAACACTGTTTGCGACATAAGTGCACCATTCCCTGCCATCACCATCAGCCTGACTTCAGGCTGGAGACGGAGTCCAGTTTTCTGGTAAAAGCTCCTTCCCTTACTATGTCAGTATCAGTTTATTTTGCGATAGAGTTTGGGCTTTGGGTGTACTTTCTCTTCACGCGTCTCCTCGGTTTCTCTTGCTCCAATCTTCTCTGATGCTCCAGGAAGTTTAAAGTTATAATCTGTGGTGATGTAAGGTATTGTCCCTTCGAGCCCATGCTGAAACAGAAACATGAAGAGAACGTATGGAAACACCCCAAATCCTGCCAATTAGAGTTTGCAGCATTTCATTTCTTCCCCAGAAAATACTGTGAAAAGGGAGAGTCTGGGTGAGGTCCTTGCACTCCTAAGACTTCTGGTCTCCCTTCCTGCAGAGGGTCCACTTGACCCGATGGCCCAGGTACAAAGGTGACTGCCGCCTTTCTGTCCAATTCAACTGCACAAACACATCGACCAGCACAAGAGTGGGGGGGGGAAGGCGTGGGTGTGCCTCTCTCTCGAACAAGTTAAGCAGCTAAGAGGGGAGAACATCCACTGCCTCCCCACGCCACCACACAGATGTCCTCAGCCAACATGACCTTCCCGCGACCTTCTCACAGGTGCATCTACAGACCGGCATCAGGAAGGAGTCATCCTGGGGAGACCACCTCTGTTCTCCCCTCCCATAACCTACTTCTGGGACAATGTCTCTACCACAGGGCTCCTGGCCACGAATGATGGCAATTCATGGCCATGGGCCTCTGAGGCCACCTGGACACTCCATTTGCCTCGTTCAGCCTCTCCAACAAAGTGTGGAGTTCCCGCACAATAACCCGTCCCCATGACGCTCTCTGGCTACCCCCAGGGCTGCCCCTGGGAGTGGCACTCACTTGGCTCTTGAAGACACACTGTGGAATGGAAATGGCTCCGACGAGCAGACAGTTCACATTTCTTAGCTCCTCTGGGGACACAGGAGTGAGGATGTGGTAAAGCCTCTTCTCCATGTCGATCCCTCTACAAATTCCTTGAAGACACAAAACATACACAAATAATCCTTTCTGGAAGATATTATACCTCCCTACCACTAGGAATTGTAGAATGGCTTTTAAAATAAGAATTTCAATTTCAACTGTGTTTTGCTTTGAAAATATAAAGTTCCAAGAGATGGGAGAACTTGACTACTCTTGGTCAAGACTCGTCAAATCTCCCATCTCTTGGAACCTTTCCCCTTGTTCAGCCGTGAGCAACCAAAGTGGCCAAAGTCCTAGACTGTCTCAAGTAAGGCACACCCAGGCCCGGAAGAAAAGCCACCCCATGCGGAACACGCAAATGACTCAGTCTTTCCCCGTCCTCAATTCCTTCCTCATGGTCTGTACCAGGTGACACAGTTTCTGAAGTAGTGCTGTCTAACTCAGAAACGTGTATTTGATTATGTAAGAGTTTTGCTAATTTTCAGTTACATAGGTCCAGCACCCTTCCAGAAACATACCCTGACATTTATTGACCTCAGTGAGCCAGGGGGACAATCATGTGAGGTAGGCTTGGCAAAGGAGGAAGGGCCTAAAGCATGGCCAGGCCAATGGTCCAGGGCAAGAGTGATGGGGGCACCAGGACGTGACATACTCCCATCTGTCCTCAGATCACCCAAAGGTGCCAAGCCCAGCACAGAAACGGTGGTTCTGACTGGCAGAATAAGAAGAGATGAGACAGAGGAATCAGACAGGTTTTGGAAACAAGCTACCACCCCTGCTAGGGGGTTGGATGTGTCGAATGAAGGCAAGGGCGTGCCAAGGTAGACCCAAAGGTCTGGCGTGAACACCAGAGTGAATCTTCCAAGGACTCCTCACAGGCCTGGGAACAGTAGATGGTGCAGGGTGGAGGGGATTTGGGGAGAAAATTAGGACCTCAGTCTTGGACCTAAGTCTCAGATGCCAGTGAGATACCCAAGTGGAGAAGCGAGCTGGGCTTGGAGTTCAGACACACAGTCATGCTACAGAGATCCTGTGGGAAGTCAGCCTAAAGATGGATCGAGGGCCCTAGCAGATGGACAAATGGCCTAGGGAAAACATGTCAAGTGACAAGAAGGCCATGACCAGGCCCTTAGGAATCCTGGCAGGAGAAGCAGAGAAAATGCTGCTTCCTTCCTGCCCACCAGCCCCAGGCACACTGTCTAGAAGCCAGAGGCACTCTGACCACTCCAGCTGAGAGACAGATCCAAGGTCAAGACCAGCCACATACAGTTGGAGAGGGGTATTGATTTCAGTAGGTATACAGACATGTTTTACTTTCACTCACCAAACCCCAAACAATCACAGATTGGAGTCTGCGCGAGTAGGATGGGACCATTTGCGTATCCTCTGACATCATCCAGGATCTTGCAAAGACCAACCCAGCTGGCATTCACAGCGTATAATATATGGGTAGGAGCGACATCAGCATGAATAATCCGGAGCGCAACTGCATTGAAAGGGACCTGGAAAATAAATGTGCACCTCCCTCTATTAATTCTACTGGAAAGGCTACTTTTAATTTTTAGAAGTTGACTAGGCAGGTATCTGAAGTTATATTGGCCAAACTGCCCACCAAAAAGTATCAAAACAGAAATGCTAACAAACACTGGTCAGTGTTTCACTACTTTAATACAGAGTACCTAAGAAATTCATACAAAGTTCTTCGCCAGCCAACACTTGCTAGAAATCCAAACTGATGCCTGGAACTTTCTTATCTGAAGAGACACATTAAGACACAAATCTGAAGATATTCTAAATGTGTTAAAGTCAGGGGGGACTGAGAAAACCCCACTTGCTGAGAGGTCTCCTAATGTCAGAAAGCAAACCTCCATTCAGTGAGAAAAAGCTTCCATCTATTCTCTATGTAACATACTAAATTAAGAAAAATGGATTGAACTCCAGGAGCACAAGGTAAATACAGTGGAGCCTTGAACAACACAGGGGGTAGAGGCACTGACCCCCCCACCCCATGCAGTCAAAGATCAACAAATAACTTCTGACCACCCCCCCAAAAAAACTTAACTCCTAAGAGCCTCCTGTCGATCAGAAGCCTTCCCGATAACATAATAGCCGATTAACACATACTTTGTGTGTTGAGTGTATTATATACTATATTCTCATGACAAAGTGGGCTGGAGAAAAAAAATGTTATTTAAAAAATTACAGGGAAGAATACATTTACAACACTGGACTGACTGTATTCATCAAAAAAACTCTGCATATAAGTGGACCCGTGCAATTAAAACTGTTGTTGTTTAAATGTCAACTGTAACTACCTTTAATGTGTAACTCTCTGGATAATTCCCGATTTGTAAAGTACAAAAGTATTCTATTATACTGTTTAGATTCCAAAACCAAATTTGAAATAGTAAAAGGCAGATGCAATTACTGGTAGATAAGCTTCAAGTTCCATTGTAGAGCATCTCTGAGTAAATGACCCCCTTGACCAAAACTTCATTCAACTGCCTGAGATTCTCCAGGAGAGAAGATCTCACCATCAGGCCTGGGAGACACATCCTTGTTGGCCAGCCCCACTGCTCCTGCCTCAGGAGTGCCTCCGGAGTGTGACCTCAGGCCAGGGTCTCTACCCGCCTGTGCCCGTCTCCAAAGCTGTAAACAGGGAATGAAAGAGCCTCTCCCTCACTGGGCTGCCACAAATCCATCGAGCTGTTCCATCTCAAGTGCTTAGCAGAACGCCCAGCACACAGGGAGTGCTTAGTATGGATGGCACAGGGTGAATACTCTGGGCTCCAGTCCCAGCCCAAACTTTTACTAGCCACCTCAGGCAAGCTGACTCAGTGTCCCTGACCTCAGTTCTAGCATCTCTAAAATGGGGTAATAATAAAACCATTATGAGTAAAGAAGTTAACAGGCTCAGAACAGAGCACAGCAGAGGGTAAGCATTTAGGAAATGCCACCTATTGCTATTTTAATCTTTTGTCATCTGGAATTCTAATATCATGGTGGTTTCTTCCCAAAATAATTCTAAGGAGCTAGGATTCCAAGATGCAAATACTCTGGTGCTAGAATCTTTTTTTTTTTTTTTTTTAAAGATTCTATTTAGGGGCGCCTGGGTGGCTCAGTCGTTAAGCGTCTGCCTTCGGCTCAGGTCATGATCCCGGGGTCCTGGGATTGAGCCCTGTGTCGGGCTCTCTGCTCAGCGGGGAGCCTGCTTCTCCCTCTCCCGCTCTCCCTGCTTGTGTTCCCTGTGTCTCTGTCAAATAAATAAATAAAATCTTTAAAAAAAAAAAGATTTTATATTATTTGAGAGAGAAAGAGTGAGAGAGCACAAGCAGGGGGAGCGGGAGAGGGAGTGGAAGAAGCAGGTTCCCTGCTGAGCAGAGAGCCCGACACGGGGCTCAATCCCAGGACCGCGGGATCATGACCTGAGCCGAAGGCAGATGCTTAACAACTGAGCCACCCAGGGGCCCCTAGAATCCACTTTTGACAATAGTATGAAATGCTTTCAAGAGTGGTCTCTGGGGGGCGCAATTGGTAAAGTGACTCTTGATCTCAACTCAGGTCATGATCTCAGGGTCGTGAATTCGAGCCCGGCACTGGGTTTGCACGCTGGTCATGGAGGCTACATTAAAAAAAAATAACAACAAAAAAAAGAGTGGTCCCCAGATGCCAGGAACCACTGCGAACACTCACTGAACCCATACAACCATCCTCTGAGGTCTGGCACAGCCTCCTTTCTCCAGGTAAGACGTGGACTCACACACAGCTAAACAGTGGGAGCGCTGGAGCTGGACTGCCTGGTGCCACCTCTGGGATCAGGCAGAACATTCTTAACCAGCACGGAAGCACAGTCGTGCCCAACAGAGGATGGCAGCTAAGAACATGGACTCTCAAGCTAGATTACTCGACCTCCCATCTGTAAACTGAGGCAGTTACAGAACCTATGCCACAGGGCCGTTCTAAGGATAAAATGAGTGAAGCATCATAAAGTGGCTGGAGAACACACACAGGAAGCCCCACGAGGCCTCGTTACATCCACAGAGAATCCCTCATCCAAAGTGAGGTTACCTGATAGGGTGTGAGACCGTGTAAAGGACAAAGTGGTTTTGGCACTGGAGGCTGCAGCTGGCCGAGGTAACCTAGTACCGCCAAATCTCGAAGAACTTTGTTATGCGACTCTCTGCAAAGTAAATCAGAACGAAGTAGAGATTTAACCTCAGAAACAGAGTCCATTGGTCATTACACAGGTTACGTGTAGAGAGATCACACATTCCCACCTTAACATCTGCAGACCCTTTCTCTAAACCCACTGGAGCAACATGACATGTAAAGACTGTCCTTCAATAAAAGCTCTTGGCAACCAGAGCTGAATGCCACCTCTGGATACGGGTCTTCCTCAATTTACAAAGGGGCTCCATCTTCATTCACCCACGAAAAGAGGAAAATATCAGACATTGAAAACGCCTTTAAGACACCTCACCTACCAGGGGAGCCTGGATGACTCAGTCATTGAGTGTCTGCCTTCGGCTCAGGTCATGATCCTGGGGTCCTGGGATCAAGCCCCGCATCAGGCTCCCTGCTCAGCGGGAAGCCTGCTTCTCCCTCTCCCACTCCCCCTGCTTGTGTTCCCTCTCTCGTTGTGTCTCTTTGTCAAATAAGAAAAAGAAAAAAGACACCTCGCCTACGGCACATCACAACTTACCCTCGCCTACTTTAAACGTGCTCAGGACACTCACATTAGCCTCCAGCCTGGCAGAATCACCTAACACAGAGCCTACGCTGTATGGGCAGAGAATGGCGTCTGTACTGCGGCTCACCCTCCAGGCTGACCTGAAGCTCAGCATCAGGACAGAAGGTCATACGGCATCATGCTTGCCCAGGAAAAGACCAAAATTCAAAGCACAGTTTCTACCGAACATGTATTTGCTTTAATACCAACATAAAGTGGGAAAATTGAAAGTCACACCATCTTAAGTCAGAGGTTGTCTGTGTTTCCATTGGGACAATAACAGCTCAGAAAAGAACAGATTCTCCTTCATGAACATAGCGCTGTGAGACAGATTTGAAAACTTGTGGAAGACTTAATTCCTTTTAAGGAATTGAGGGCAGAAGGCCTTGTTGAACTGCACAGAACTTCATCCTCCAGCCATGACAGTTTAATTACCTGTTTCTCGGAGTTTTCCTAAACGCAAAGTCCGACTGGACGCATATCAGCTTATGTCCAGTGAACACAACTGGACTCTCCTTTTCTTCGTCAGCGAATTCCAAACTCTCTGTAAACTCTGCCAGTTGGAAACCTCTGTCTCTGACTCTGGACTTGCTCTTGGTGTACAGGCCGTCCATATCATCCACGTGGTCAGGGGTCAGGCTCGGCATGTATTTGCTCCGGCCAGAACTGAACTGCACGACGTGGCTGGGAGACAGCAACCGGATGAGATCGATGAGAAGCAAAAGCCCTTTGTCTGTGAGGGGAGGACACGGGCAGCTGGTGAGCTACTAAAACCGCGACACACTCCTATAAGAACATGGCACAGCTGTTCTGAGACAAAGAAAGGATCCCTAAGAAGAAATCTCCTCGGGCGCCTGGGTGGCTCAGTTGGTTAAGCGACTGCCTTCGGCTCAGGTCATGACCCTGGAGTCCCGGGATCGAGTCCTGCATCGGGCTCCGTGCTCAGCGGGGAGTCTGCTTCTCCCTCTGACCCTCCCCCCTCTCATGTACTCTCTCTCTCTCATTCTCTCTCTCAAATAAATAAATAAAATCTTAAAAAAAAAAAAAAGAAAGAAAGAAATCTCCTAAAAACTGGGCTCCAGCGTTACTGCCTGAAGCCAAAAGCTTATTCACATGGCCCCACCTTTTCGGCCAGATGTGCCTTCCCAGGCTTACCTGACACCCAGCCCATTGTGTTGATGATGAGAGGGGACTCTCTCTTGTAGGAGCTGAACACATACTTTATTATCTCAATATAATTTTCACAGTTGTTTTTACAAGCAGGTTTCCCATAATATACCATTTTCTGTGGTGTCCTCTGGTGGGTGAAAGGTGGTCCTAGGAAGATAAAGGTAAGAGTTTGAATCTGTGACTATTTAAAAGGAGGTGAGGGGTTTTCCTCGGCCATCACCAGTGACAAAGATCCTTAGGAAATCAAAGACCGTCCTACCAGACCATTCTACCACTAGGAATAGTTGTATCCCATTTTCAGAAATCCAAGCTTTCCGGGCATCTGGGTGGCTCAGTCAGTTGAGCGTCTGCCTTCTGCTCAGGTCATGATCCCAGCGTCCTGGGATCGAGCCCCGCATTGGGCTTCCCTGCTCAGTGGGGAGTCTGCTTCTCCCTCTGCCTCGCTTCCCTGCTCATGCTCTCTCTCTTAAATAAAATCTTAAAAAAAAAAAAAAAAGAAATCTAAGCTTTCAACTTCATACAAAGACATGCTCATTTTTACATACAGTTAATCCCAATTCTGTCCTAATATGACCATTCACTCAACAAACATTTACTGAGCACCTGTAACACTCTGAGCATTGTTCTAGATACTTAGGATACACCTGTGAACAAAGCAACACCCATCCTTACAGGGTTGACGTTCTAATGAAAGGACAAATAAGAACAAGGGCAATCACTTGCTGGAATCTAGCACTTACTATGTCCCATGTACCTCACATTAGTCTCTGATGTTCATAAAAACCCTATGAGGTAGGTAATATTACTATCTCCATTTTTAACTTGATCAAGGTCACAGAGTGAGTAAATATCAGCTGGGCTTGAACTCAGGTGAGCCAGCTCCAGGGCAGACGCTCCTAACTGCAGTACCGGTCTGTCAAGCCTGAGCCAACTCCCCTCTCTGGTTGGGGCTGGGAACTCACTCAGCAGGCTGGTGACCAAGACCACATGCCAACAGTCGGCAGGGTGAGGGCCTTGGTTAATGTGGTTGGTGCAAGGCCACCTGGGACAGGGCTGGCGAGGCTCCCCTCAAGGGTGGGGTATGGGGATTTGGGGCAGCCCACAGCTGAGGAAGTGGCCTGCAAAGCAGAGGGATTGAACAAATACAAAGGGACTGAGTAAATATGTAAATACATGGAGAATAATCATAGCCACGGTTCTTATCATCAGAGATGAAACTTATAAATATGGAAGGGGAAAGGCTAACTAGAATAAACCCGGGCTGTCAGACTGGAATCGGAATGATAGCAATAAACTCATGGCTCTTAATACATAGGGAACATACAAACAAGGAGATATAGATGCAGTGTGTATACACATGTATGTGCATGTATGGATCTAAGCATGCGTATATTTCCTAGCTCTGTCCACCGAGGGGGGCCCACAAGCAGTCACACCCCAGAAGAAATAACACACTTCGTTACAGGCAGAGTGGAAAACGCTGGCAAACACTTATCTTAACCAAATGATCAGAGTTAACCTCTCTGGTAACAGAGCAAACTGACAGCTTGTTGATATGATGCACTGAGAACAGAGCACCACATCTCAATCAAACCACAGGGACATTTGATAAATGTACTCTTCCAAACTGCCAAGGTCATAAAAGATAAGAAAAGCTGGAGGGAATGCTCCAGACTGGAGAAGACTAAAGATTTGCAAATATACACTGGGCCCTGGCAGGTGGCTGGAGGACAGAAGAGGGAACAGTACCACGGCCGAACTGCTACCCTGACTTGGTGGCCGCATTATGACTACGTATCATAATGTGTCCTTGTCTGGGGAAACACCTGCTGAAATATTAAGGGGTGAAAAAGGAAAAGAAAAGTAAATGGACTAGGGAAAATGTAAAAGAAGAGAAGGAACAATGAAACCAGCTAGAAAGCAAAATCTAAACAGTTTTGATAAAACTGTAAATACAGTATGAATGCCCTACTTATTTTTGTCAAAAAGTCTGTTAAATCCACAACGAATCCAGCAACCTGATCTATCATCTGCTTAAAAGTCAACTAAACAAAAATCACACAAGTATCTCGACAGACGCAGAAAAAGCACCTGACAAAGTCCAACACTTTCATGATACAAACATTCCACACACTAGAAACAGAAGGCAGCTTCTTTAGCCTGACGATGGGAATGACAAAAACCTGCAAATGACAGCATACTTCTGGTGAAGAACATTCCCTCTAAGGTGAGGAACAAGAAAGGGATGTTTTCTTCTATTCAGCACTGCACTGAAGGTTCTAGCCTGAGAGCGCTAGGAGACAAGAAAAAGAAATCAAAGGCATCCAGACTGGAAAGGAAGGGTGAAACTATTTCTATTCACAGACGACGATCTTCTAACTAGAAAATACCAAAATATCCACAAGACACCTGTTAGAGCTAATATGGGAATTCAGCAAAGTTGCAGGTTACACAGTCAATACACAAAAATCATGTGTGTTTCTATACACCAATAGTGAACAATTTGTAAAAGAAATTAGGAAAGCAATTCCATTTATGGTAATAAGTGAAAGAATCCAACCCTTGGGAACCAATCTAACCAAGTGAAAGACTTACACATTGAAAACCACAAAATATTGCTGGAAGAGGGCGCCTGGGTGGCTCAGTCATTAAGCGTCTGCCTTCGGCTCAGGTCATGATCCCAGGGTCCTGGGATCGAGCCCCATATCGGGCTCCCTGCTCCACGGGAAGCCTGCTTCTCCCTCTCCCACTCCCCCTGTTTGTGTTCCTGCTCTCTCTGTCAAATAAATAAATAAAATCTTAAAAAAAATAAAAGTGTCTGCCTTCAGCTCGGTCATGATCCCAGGGTCCTCAGATCGGGTCCTGCATCGGGCTCCCTGCTCAATGGAGGGAGGCCTCTGCCTCCCTCTCTGTCTCTCACGAATAAATAAATAAAATCTTAAAAAAAATTGCTGAAAAAAATTTAAAGACTTAAGAAACTGGAAAGACATCCTGTGTTCATGTACAGGAAGATTTATCATTATTGAGATGTCAGTGTCACCCAAAGTGAGCTATACACATTCAATCAATGCAATCCCTACCAAAATTCAACAGCCTTTTTCGCAGAAATGTAAAAGCTGATCCTCAGATTCATACAGCATTGCAAGGGTACCAAATGGCCAAAACCATTTTGAAAAAGAATGAAGTTGGGAGGACTCACATTCCTCCATTAGCATAGGACTGGCATAAAGACACAGATATAGGCCAATGAAATAAAAGACAGGGCCCAGAAATAGGCCCTCATATATATGATCAAGTGCTTTTCCACAAGGGTGCCAAAACCATTCCACGGGGGAAAGGACAGTCTTCAACAAATGTTAATTGGCAAACTAGACATCCACATGCAAAAAAATGAGGTTGGATGCTTTCCCTATATCATATACAAAAATTAATTCAGAATGGACCAAAGACTTAAATGTAAGACCTAAAACTTACAAAATTCCAAGAATATTAGAAAAAAAAAATTTTTTTAAAAGATTTTATTTATTTGACAGAGAGAGACACAGCGAGAGAGGGAACACAAGCAGGGGGAGTGGGAAAGGGAGAAGCAGGCTTCCCGCTGAGCAGGGAGCCCGATGCGGGCTCGATCCCAGAACCCTGGGATCATGGACCTGAGCCGAAAGCAGACACTTAACGACTGAGCCACCCAGGCGCCCCTAGAAGAAATCTTTACATTGGACTTAGCAACATTGTGAATATGACATCAAGAGAATGTCAACAAAAGAAAAAATAAACTGGAAAAAAAAGGAAACTGGATTTCATAAAAATTAAGAACTTTTGTGTATCAAAGGACACCATCAAGAAAACAGAAAGAAAACTTAAAAGACGGGAAAAAATGTTTGCAAATTGCTTATCTGATAAGAGATTAACACTCAGAACATATACAAAGAACTCCTAAAACTCAGTAACAATGCAATTCAAAAATGGGTGAAGGACTTCACAGACATTTCTCCAAAGATCTACAAAAGGCCAACAAGCACAGAAACAGAGGCTCAACATCATCAGCCATCAGGGAAATGGCAAATCAAAGCCACAGTGAGTTATCAGGGCACATGTGACAGGATGGCTGTGATTAAGATGATAAGATGTGGAGAAGCGAGAGCCCCTGAGGATGGGGATGCAAAATGCAGCCACTGTAAAAAAACAGGCTGGCGGTTTCTCAAAAGGTTAAACATGGCTTTACCACACGACCCAGCAATTCCCCTCCGAGTGTCCATCTGAAAAAACTAAAAGCAGGGACCTGCACAGGTATTTGTATGCTGATGTTCACAGCAGCACTATTCCCAGAAGCCAGGAAGTGGCAACAATCCCACTGTCCATCAACAGCTGAACGCATCAACAAAATGTGATCCATGTATACAATGGAATGATACTCACCCACAAAAAGGAAATGAATTTTGATTATCTGCTACAATATGGACTATCTTAAAACACTTATGTTTGGAGGGTGCCAGGAATGGGGGAAATTAGGTGATGGGGATGAAGGAGGGCATTGTTGTGATGAGCACTGGGTGATGCATGGAAGTGTTGAATCACTGTACTGTACATCTGAAACTAAAATAACACTGTGTTAACTGGATTGAAATAAAAACAAAAAAATAAGCAAAAAGAAAAATCATTATGATTAGAAAAAAAAACAAAACAGGCACAAGGACAAATAGTGTTTCCACTTACATGAGGTATGTGGAGTAGGCAAAGTCACAGGGACAGAGACTAGGACAGAGGTTAGCAGGGGCTGGAAGGAGAGCAGGAGGGGGCAAGTGTTCTTTAATGGGAACACCGTCACAGTTTGGAATGATGAAAGAGTTTCGGATACAGACAGCGGTGAAGGGTAGAGAACACTGAATTGTACACCTATCAACAGTTAAAACAGTAAATATCATGTTGTGCATATTTTACCATAAAAAAAAAAAAGCAACATGGGACTTTGGTCTGGAGTCTGAACCAGAAAAAGTACATTAGTAGGATAACTAGTGAATTTTGAATAAAATCCATGGATTGGCTAATGGTATCATGTCAATGTAATTTCTTGGTGTACATCATTATACGGTTCGTTTTTTTTAAGATTTTATTTATATTTATTCGTTTGACAGAGACAGTGAGAGAGGGAGAGCACAAGCAGGGGGAGCAGCAGAGGGAGAGGAAGAAGCAGGTTCTCCACTGCAGGGAGCCCGATGCAGGACTCGATCCCAGAGCTGCATGCTCCACCAACTGAGCCAGCCAGACGCCCCTTACATTTTTTTAGCTTTTTGTAAGATCATTATATTTGAGTTTTATAAAACCAAGACATCAAAGAAATGTGTAATACATACCTAGAACTGGTTCTGTAATATTAAGTAAAGAAATGCAACCTGGAGGCGTAAATTCTGTCTGTCCCAGATCACATTCCAAATAGTCAACGCAGGAAATACTGAAAATTTGAAAGGAATAAGGAAAATCTCAACTACCTTTACTCTGTCAAAAGAATAAATCAGATCTTACAGACTTTATGCAATACACAGGCACAATCTACCCTATGCGGCCTTTTACGTAGAATGCTCCAAAGATGGCAATCAACATAAAAAAAAAGTAAAAAGAAAATGTGATGCAGGCATGGTCGCAGTACCCATTCGTAATATGGATACAACTTTGTCTTTCCTAAAATCTGATTTTTAAAACACAACAGAATTGCTCCCTACTCTGAACCGCTGGGTATGGACAAACAGATTCTGACACCAAGTGACTCCTCTTGCACACTCACCGATAAGCACGGTCAGTTCACCCCGAGAGGCCGATGTGCCTCACTCCAAAACACAGCCTAACAGAGAGTGCCGTCACTCCGCTGAGTGGCTTTGCACAGACGTGTAGATAATCCCTACTGAGAAGTCAAGATGCATTCCCATCTAGTTTCTTAAATCAAAAATCCTATTTCATGACCCTAATCTGATAACGTATCTAAACAAAAATAAAAACACTCTTACCTATTTAACAACTGGTTAATGAGGTACCTATTAAATGTTGACTTTCCAACGTCCTGAGAGCCACAAACCAGAATGACAGGGCAGCCGTCTACTTCCTCTGGAGGTAAAACAAACATTGAAACCTCAAATTAGCCACCTTCGCTAGGGCTCTACCTGTAAACTGTGATCCTCTGAGGCCCTGCGGGATGAATGCTCCCTTTACCACCAGGTGTCACTCACCACAGGACACGGTGACCAACTCCTCCATGGCCGACAAGGCACTCTCTGTCAAACGAAGACCGTTTTTCTTCTTCTCTCTTCTAATGCCAACAGACCTCAGGGCTAAATGTTCAGAGTTAATCTGGAAGGTTGGACTCTGAAATGAACAATTTAAGTTTTAAGAAAACATGAACACAAGTGCACGTCTCTTCCTCCAGTTTTGAATTAGTAAGCCTCAAACAGTCGTGAGCTGTGAGAGGTAGATCTGAGCCCACCCTCTCACCCCACAGCCATCCCTTCAGTGAGCCTCATCAGCTACTCCTTCAGTTGTCCGTACCTGTGCTCCTGGCTCACATTCACTTCCAAGCTGCCATCACCTCTGCAGGAGACCCCGCAGGAAAGGAAAATGTGTGCGAGTTTAAAAAGCGATTGCCACAGTAACAATTCAAAAGAAACCACAGCTGTTGAACAGGTTGGTGCTTTAGAACAAAATCAAGGCTGTCTCCAAAGACATAAAGTAAAAAGACAACGAACACATGCAGACCGGGCTGAAAGAACGTGGAAAACAGGCCCACTAAGCCCGCGGGTGCTCTGCAGAAGTACCAGGAAGCCACCGGCCAACCCAAGGAATGGAGGAGCAGGCCCTTGCTGCAGCGGATGGGGCTCCAAGGGAACAAGGTCTCCGTGGTGAAGAGAATCAATGAAGAGACCCATCCATGATCACCTCCTCATTCAATTCATCAACCCCAGGATAAAAACATCATAAAAGGAACAAGAATCAGTCTGGTGTGTGACTTCCTATCAGCAACTATGGATTTTAGAAAACAGTGGAGCAAGGCCTTCAAGGTTTCGAGGAAAAAAACTCTATACTGTGCTCAACTATCAATCATGGAGGGCAAAATAAGAGTATCTTATAAAATGAGATCATATAAAGTTCACTATCTGCCTTGTATGAAAAAATAACTCTAGAACGTATAAAAACACAGTGGGGGAGGGAAGGTACCCAAGAAGGAGCATAAGGAATATAAAGAGTGGTGGTGAAGTCCCAGAAAAAAAAATAAAGCTAAAAATGAATGAAAACAGTATTAACATGTTTGGAACCTTCACTTGCAAGAGGCAAAGGCTTGGTGACACAGGTTTCCCATTTCCTTCTCCATGGCCCTCACCCAGCTACTGGGTCTGCACCAGACCTGTGCTCTTTGTCCAGCTCCTCTGAAGACTTCCTGATCATACTCACCTGGTTTTTCTCCAACATCAGTGACCCCTACTTCTCAGTCTCTACTGCTCCCTCATCCAGACCTCTTCTTGGTAGTGCCGAAGGGCCGTGACTTTGAACCCCCTTGTTTTTCTCTATCAACTCCCTTGGTGTTATTATCCCACCTCTCGGCCTTTGGGCCATTCTGCTGAAATTCCAACAGAATTCCAACATTCCAACGGAATGTCTAACAGGCAGGTCAAGGTGAACATTTAAATCTGCTCCTCCCACGGTGCCCCCATCTCAGTAACGCCCTGCACCCAAAAGCATGTATTCCTTGGTTCTTCCCCACACCTCACATCCACAAGCCTGATAATCCTGCAGATCAGGCTCAATTTATGGCTCGTGGGGGACAATTATAACAATAGAACTTGACTTTAAGAAAGTAATAACACAGTCAGCAAAAATTTGGAGGCAAGAAAGAGAGAGATGGGAGAAATTATAAGTAAAGTATATTCATACAGGAAATTTATACTATCTCAAGTTAATAAATCAAGATAAAAAGATAACCATTTAAAAAATTCCAACAGGCGGGGCACCTGGCTGGCTCAGTCTGTAGAGCATGGAACTCTTGATCTTCGGGTCGTGAGTTCAAGCCCCACGTTGAGGGGTAGATTGTACTTAAAATTAAAAAAAAAAAAAAAAAAATTGGTAAAAAAAAAACATAAATAAAGTAAAATTTCCAAAAGGCATTTGATCACCTACAATATGAAAAGGATGGCTTTCACTGGGCAATAAAACTAACGAGGAAGGGGAGACTATTTTTCATGATACGCCTTTCTATGCTATTTTACTGCACACACAGATGATGTTGTGTACAACCTACAACACGACAGACTGATTTTCCAAGGGAGCATCCTACAGCCAGCTGACGTGTGACTGTTCTGGTGAAAATAATTAGCACAGCTCCAAATGAAAACTAGTCCTACCTCTTGTACGAAAACGTAAGATAAACCTGGATGGCTAACTAAGAAGTTCACAGTGGGGGTTTTCAGTTGTTCTAGCATCACAATGGAACACAGAGGAGAAAAATTCTTCATCAACCAACATCTGTCATCTGTAAAGAGAAAAACAAACTACCTTAGAAATAGCAACTCCATTAAATTCTACACTATTTAGGACTACCTTCTTTTCGGCTGAACTGTCAACTTTTTGAGAGCAGGAATTATGTCCAAGAGCCTTCTTTAGGAAACCATACTGCATATCAGGAACACACCTGGATGGAGAAGTCAATCCAGGTTTGCTTTTGCTACACAATATAGCTGTGTGGTCTTAGGCCATTTTTCTCATCTGTAAAATGGTGAAAACAAGTTCCACTCAAGTTTCACTTTAAATAGACACAGAAAAGTGTGTAATGTCTAGGCAATAGGAAGGACCTAAAAATAGCAGCCTTATTATAGTACACCCTCAGTAAATTATCCAGTTACTTTTCTTACCCCGATTAAGATGAGATCTGAGCAAAGCTCGGGCTTCCCTTTTCATCTCCTTCTTGCTTTTCTCAGGCATGGAATAATGAACTGCATTGATAGTCAATCGAGAGTGGGTGTAGGCAGAAAAGACATCTTGGGGAGGCTGGCCTTGGCTGATGGTAAAACCAAACACCTGCACTTGGCCATAGAGGCAAGTCACACGACAGATCCCACTAAAAGTAAAACCCTAGCAAGGAAGAACAAAGAAAGGAACATAACATTTCTAATTCTGTTACTAGAGACTGAAATTTTCTAAACTTTTTTTAACTAAACTCTATGCTGGAGATGGGACTGGAAGTGACAACTTGAGATCAAGAGCAGCATGCTCCACCCACTGAGCCAGCCAGGCACCCCCCTTTTTTTTTTTTAGTTTTCTAAACTCTTAATTGCTATTCACATATCGAAGGGGAGGGGATTTCCAAGTAACAATATATTGTACTAGGTGACCATCAGGTTCTTAATACCTCTAACCTAATTTCATATCCCAGGACAGTTACAGAGATGGCTGGTGTATCCAGACACATGAACGACAAGGGGGGCGTCCCACGAACTGGGCTCTGCTGTTCTCACAGATCCCTATCTCTACCAAGGCCCCCTGCCAGCCAAGTGTCTCCCATTCTTGGGTTTTCACTTTCCTCTCGCACTGGAGGAAATCCAATGCAAGCAAGGGAAGAGCAAAGGACCTGCAATTAGGCTGCCTGGATTTGAACATAGCCCTGCCTCTACTGAGTACCTTCTATCAAGTTACCTAAGCTATAGCTCAGTTTCTTCGTAAATTTTCGGAAATAACGGTAATGACTCCATAGACTGCTAAGAGTATTAAAAGGGCTCGTAAACCTCACTCAGAACATAGAGCCTGGCACTTTCTAAGCACCCAGTAAATGTGACCTAGTAGTATTATTTACCACTATTGAAGTCCCTCTCAGCTCTGAAGACCTAGAGTCCCACAACAGGGTCCTAGCTAGCCCTGCTCAGTACCACCGCCAGGAGGAATGCGCTCCACCTGCGGCCGGAGAACCTGCAGATGGGGCAAGGTCTTCTCCCAGCCCGCAAGTCCTGGCGCTGCCGCTCCTCCGGCGGGACCCACCTGCTCGAGCGGCAGCAGCACCAACGCGCGGCCCGGGCCGGCCGGCCGCACCGGCGGGATGGGGAGGCTCGCGGGGCCACTCGGGGCGGGGGCTGCGGCCGGAGCCGGGCTCGGGGCCGCGGTCTTGGGCCTCCGGGTCGCAGCGCGCGACACCGGGCAGCCGCTCTCCCGCCAGTCCGCGCCGGCTGCCTGGGCTTGCAGCAGCCGCCGCCGGAGCCGCCTCCGGCCGCACCAGCGCAAGGTCCCGAGCCGGCGGCGGGGCCGGCGGCTGAGAACGAGCTGTGTCCGAGTTTTGCGGGCACGCAGCCACGTGGAGCGAAAAGGACCCCGCTTGAGCAGCGACTGCGAATCCGCCATGCTGGCCACTGGCGCCAGCCGCGCGAGAATCTCGTGAGATCCGCTCGCTCCGCCCCGCGGCCCGTCGAGAGGCTGAAAGAAGTGGCCTGGGTGCCGCGAGCGCCCTCTGCCGGCGGCCCCAGCAGTGCACCTGGGCCTCCGCCGGCCCCTCGGAGGCTCCCGCCGGCCTGGGGGCTTCAGGGGCCGCAGCCTTGGCCACACCCCACCGGGCCGTCCCTCCGAGGGCTTCATTTACATTATGCAAAAGCCCCACCCCGGCCAGACACCCGGCTTTGAGTCCTGGGCCACCTCTCCGGAAATCGGCTTGGAATTTTTCTTGCAGAAAAAGAACCGGGATTGGCAGTTTAAGCAAAACCGGTCTATTTGCATACTGTGTTTGCATGCAGTTGTCTTTGGGCTGAGGGGAGCCACCCTGGATAACAAGGCAAACCCACAATGATTCACTCAAACTTTCAGTGTCCGAAAACTAAGGCTGGGAGGAGGTCAACTCAAAGCCATGTCTCATTTGGCAAACTGAGGCCCGGGTAAAAGGCTCCAAAACCCGGAGCCCCTCCACATTCTGTCCCCCAAAGAAGCTGTGTCCCTGCCTCCTTCCTCTGACCATAATCTCCCAAATGCCAGAGCTCCCTTTCTTTCTTTTTCTTTTTCTTTCTTTCTTTCTTTCTTTCTTTCTTTCTTTCT